ATTAAAGGGTCGCGGCATTAGGAAGGTTGAGAACCACTGCTCTATGGCTTCGATTCCTCAGTTTCCCTGTGCAAACACAGCCCCGCTGTGTGGCCTGGTAAATTAGTAAGGGCCACGCACACCACAGTGTCCTTATGTGGGAGACGGGGAGTGTAGGGTTGTTAAGGGGATTAGCAGGGAAGAAGTGCTTAGAACTGGAACCAGCAGGTGGTAAAAAAGCTGTGCATTTTACTGTTGTCCTTGCCTCTGAGGTGAAAGGGACCCCAGACGCATGCGTGCGGAGTCCCTGGACCCGGCTCCCTGACCTCAAGTGACCGGGTTATTTTTATGATGTTAGAGCCGCAGGTTCAAGGACAGGCGGAAGCCTGCGTCTGGCCCGCCCGGAGCCGGCCGCAGTGAGGTCAGCGCGTGTTTCTGGCCAGCCCTGCCCCCGCCTGGTGCTGGTGGCCCCGCTCCTATCTGGACCGCCCCAGGTGCCAACCCCACTTCAAAGCAAGGCCCCTCCTATTTTTATCCCGTGGGCAGCCCGCCGGGCGCTGCCTCTTGAACAAAAAGTCCTCCCAGGCCTCTGGCTCCTCACAACCACAGAATAATCGGCTGTCCTGGTGCCCTGAGGTGGGCGCAGAAGCGCTGTCTGTCCTCCCCATCGGAGGGGAGCCAGCGTTACTGCCGCCGCACAGCCGAGGGTACGGCCCCAGGTGAGCCCCAGAGGGGCCAGGCAGCACCCCAGGTCAGGGCGATGCCCACGGTCACTCTCACACCCGGACCCTTTCTCTCAAAGGGCTCCCTTCAAATACTTTTTAAAAGTGAGCTGAACCCAGCTGGCGTGGCTCAGTGGTTGAGTGTCGACCTGTGAACCAGGAGGTCAGGGTTCGATTCCCGGTCAGGGCACATGCCTGGGTGGTGGGGTCGAGCCCCACCGTGGGGTGTGCAGGAGGCAGCCGATCGATGATTCTCATCATTGATGTTTCTCTCTCTCTCCCTTTCTCTCTGAAAGCAATAAAAATATATTTTTTAAAAAGTGAATTGATTTAGAACTGAAAATGTAATCTGAAAGCGAACCTAACAGGAGTTAAGATGCATGGTCCGTGGCAGAGTCGGGACGAGCAGCTCTGGCCACCAGCCGCCTCTCTCCCCAGGCCTGGCGTGCGGACTGCGTTCTCAGGGCTGTTTAAGCAACGTGTGCTCACGTGATGCCCTCGTTCTTGATAATACAGCTCAGAAGTCCTGCTCCCATGCACGGTTCTCAGCCAGCAGAAACGGACAGTCCCCTGTTTTTTTATTTTTATTTTTTAAAATATATTTTTATTGATTTCAGAGAGGATGGGAGAGGGAGAGAGAGAGATAGAAGCATCAACGATGAGAGAGAATCATTGATTGGCTGCCTCTTACACGTCCCCCACTGGGGATGGAGCCTGCACTCAGGCACGTGCCCTGACCAGGAATGGAACCGTGACCCCCTGGTTCATAGGTTGATGCTCTACCACTGAGCCACACCAGCTGGGCAGTGCCGGCTTAGATAAGAGTGCTACCACAGAACTTCCCCAAACTCCATGTGGTGGAGGAAAATGTAAGATTCACTTGCAGATCCCAGGGAATATGAGGTAGAGGCTGTTTTATTAAGAGACTAGAAAAGCCCTGACCAGTTTGGCTCAGTGGGTAGAGCGTTGGCCTTCGGACTGAAGGGTCCCAGGTTGGATTCTGGTCGAGGGCATGTACCTTGGTTGCGGGCACATCCCCAGTGGGGGGTGTGCAGGAGGCAGCTGATCGATATTTCTCTCTCATTGATGTTTCTTCTGTCCCTCTCCCTTCTTCTCTGTAAAAATCAATAAAAAATATATATTTTTTAAAAAAGAGACTAGAACAAAATGATCTAAAAGTTCTCCTGACCCCCGACTCCCAGGTTGATTATGTCTCAATAACCTCCAGGGAGCGTTTGCCCGATATTTAAAGTTCTCGGTAAGGGAATTCCAAATCTCCGTGGAGAATTCATCTAAGACTTTTCTCAGGGCAGTTTAAACGCCTCACAGTCCCACAGACCTAAGTGCAACCCTTTTCCCTCCACGTGAAAACCTCCCACCTGCTTAGAAAATGGATTCCTTTGCAAGTATTGCTGCATCCTACTTGTCTCGCCAAACTTGGCCTGACTCGGGGTTTGGTGCGTGCATGTTGGGGGTGAGGGTGGGCGAGAGTCTTTGCATAAGAGCCGCACCATATGCCACTGACCTGGGGGAAGGGCCGCACCGCCGGGGGTGACCACACATCGTGGCAAAGCCAGCCCCGTCTCCTGGTTCTGGCGATGGAGAAATGGCCGTTCATTCCTCAGCAAGCACCAAGCACCTACTTGTCAGGCACTGTGCCAGGTCTGAGGACGTCTTAGTTGGAGCTAAATTCTAGCGGGAAGAAGCAGGTAAACAGACTAACTGGATAAAACATTTATTCTGGTAGGTAGGCATGAGCCTAGGGGGAAACCAAGCAGAGAGGGGGGATGGGGAATTTTGAGAAACAGAGAGACTAGCCGAAGTGCGACCCTGTGATGTGAGTCAGGCCTGAAGGAGAGGAAGCGGAGTCGTAGGTGCTGATGCCAGGAGGCAGCAGGGTCAGCAGGTGCAAAGGTCCTGGGGCACCAGGATGCCTGGTGAGATCATAGCAGGGAAGAGGCCAGCGCAGCCGGATCAGAGGGACAGGGAGCCCTGGCCAGGCGGCTCAGGGGACTGGAGTGCCATCGGTCCACCAAAGGCTGTGGGCTCTCGGGGTTCACACGGGAAGCAGCCTTCATTGAAAAAAATCTCTGAGCTCTTTGTTTTCAGGACATCACTCAACCATGTGCTGAACTTTCTAATTTCTAAGCTTCCGTTCTTCCAATGATTTTGAAAGTAAACAGGTGGGAGAAAGACCCGAAAGTAAGGTCTTGTCTCTCATCCGGTGCGGTGGGTGCCCTGAAGTGTGTGGTCCTTAACCCTCCCAAAGGGAGTGGTAGTCCGTTCTTCCTCCAGCTATGAGCGGCGATGCTAGTCCCCTGGCCGTGCACTCAGGAGCCCCGCCCGGGTGTCTGTGGGGTCTTGGGTCCCTTTATTATCACCCCTCAAGTCTCTGGGGTGTTAGGACCTGAGCTGCTCTATCTGGAGACAGACCAGGGAAGGCAGGCGTCCCTGGGTGCCCCAGGGATCTGTAGACCGATGCTGTTCTCGTCCGTTGTAAGGACCGAGGGAGGCATCCCCACACCACGAGAGAGAGACGAGGGCTGCATTTCTCTTCGCCACACCGAATGCCAATGCGTCTCGTGGTTTAGACAGTCCCTCCCGGTCCTGAGCAGCTGGGTGGAGAGTCCCTTCTTAGATGACCTGAGGCTAAGCTGCCACAGCGGAGCTAACGTGGAGGGTGTTGTGCGCTGCCTGAGGGCGAGGACCTCAGTGAATCACCCCTGTGTTCCTGGGAGCGCAGTCGAATGCCTGGGAATAGTAGGTGCTCAATAAAATGTGTGCTGAGTGAGTGAGGACGGCAATGCATAGATAATGGGAAGTGGCAAGCAGCCCTCCCACGGTGATGACTGACACCAGGCTTGGCCCCGCCCACCCTGACATAGAGGGAAGAAGACTTATTACATTAGGATAAGGAGGCAAGTTTTTGCTAGGATTCAGCCATTATTACTGACGTTTTAATGACTGAGAAGAGAGAAGCCAGACCCATTCTACGGACCCCCCCATTCTTCTGCATGAGCCGAGTATGAACCATCTCTGTTCTTTGTGTGCCCCATGGGAAAAAGCAGAAAGAAAACACTGCAATCAGAGATGTTCGGTCAGATCCAGGTTTGCTGTTCACTTTAAAGTTAATCGCTTGACTGAGAAAGAAAAGCTGTGAAAACCGTTCACTGGCCCTCGCTGGTGTGGCTCAGTGGACAGAGCGTCGACCTGCATTCTGAAGAGTCCTGGGTTCGATTCTGATCAAGGGCACTTGCCAAGGTTGAGGGCTCGATCCCCAGTAGGGGGCGTGCAGGAGGCAGGTGATCAATGATTCTCTCTCATCATTGATGGGTCTGTCTCTCTTTCTCCCTCTCCATTCCTCTCTGAAATCAGTAAAAATGTATATAAAAACAAAACCAAAAACCATTCATGGAATTTGAACACACTCACCGGCCTGGCACCGCTTTCCGTCCTGGAGGGGACGTGGTGGGCCGTGAAGGTGCCACCTGCCTCGGGGCACCCACTGCTCCCGCCAGCCTGGCCAGCAGCGCCTCCTGGGGCAGAGTTTGTGAGGAGTGCGGGCGGGGCCAAGGCCCTCGGAAATCCTCTGTGTGCACATTCGACAGATGGAACATTCGCTTCCAACGGGGAATGTTTCAGGGACACAGACTGTCCAGGAACCCAGGGATGCGGCTCGTACCAAATGCAGGAAGAATATAACAGCGGGGAGCGCTGCCTCAGAGATGTGGCGACCCCCGCGCTTAGGGACGAGACCCCACCACCCTCCCTCTGCCCAGCACAGGCAGGTCCCGAGGAGAGGCCTGCCCTCCGCCAGGCGATTGGCGATAGCAGGTCTCAGCGCTCACGCCTGTCCCTGCTGTAGGCAGAGGCTGAGGCGAGGTGCAGATTAAAGTCACTTCAGGGCAGAAGGGGCCCGAGGTCATGGTCTGCTTCCGGGCGGTAGATGTGTCCCATGTATTGTGTGCGGGAGCACAGGACGCGGCGCGGTGGGCAGAGCGTGCAGATGTGAGTGTGTGGGGGGCAGTCAAGGCTGGGGGCTCCCGGGATGACAGGGGGTCACACCCAAGAGACTTGGGAGCCTCAGAGCTAAGGGCTTGGGGGTGGGGAGCGAGCAGGAGGCCTCAGTCCGGTCCGGCCGAGAGCCCTGCACCTGTCTAGGCAGCCGCCTCGGCCCCCGCCTAGGCTCGGTGGGACCTGCTCTTACAGGGCGTGGGCACAGCCCACCAGGACCCAGAGTAGCAGCCATCAGCACAAACCACAGTGACTAAGATGCCCTAACCTTGTCCTTGCTTCTAGGAGAGTGGACGCTCGCTGTCTCTCCCGGGAAGACCCGTCCCACCCACCGTTTCTGCGACACCTGCCTGGGCGCGCCGGCCTGCTCTCCGCCACCCCGCCCAGCCGGCCTCGGGGCCCGAGGGAGCACACAGGAGACTCGCTCCCTGGGAAGCAGCAGCCGAGTCTCCTCTGGGTCTCGTGGAGGAGGCCTTCCGGCCCAGAGACATCCGGGACTCCGTCGTGGCCAACGTGGTCTCGGCCGCTCGCAGGAAGGTGCTCCCGGCACCCACGGAGGGGTGGGGTGACGGGCTGCCCCATGCCCCGAAGGCCCCAATGGCCAGTGTGGGCCTGTGCGGGAGCCGAGAGTATCACGGGGCACCCCTCCCCAACAGTAGTGTCCCCACCCACTCCCAGTGGCTGCACGCCTCTTACAGGCAGCCTTCCAGGAATGATTCTTGGATGACATCCCTGGAGACCCGGTCCGAGTACTGCCTGTCGGCAGCCGAGGGCAACTACAACCCCTACCCCAGGGGGTGGAGACGCCCCACATGAGGCAGAAGGTGGGTCGTGGGCCCCGTCACGGTCGCTTTTAGCGATGTCCCTCGGCAGGGCCTCTGACGCCTGCGGTAGCTTTAGATTCACTTTGGTCTTAGCGTGTTCTCGAAGTCACCTGAGGGTGTGTGTGTGTACGTGCACGCGTGAGCACGGATCAGGCCCGTGTCTGCTGACGCACAGAACCTATTTGAAGAGAAAAATCCATTCCCAGTGTGGACATGCTGGCTGGCATCTCACTCATCACTGTAATCCCACATCTGCCACGGGGAGCGGGGAGTCTCGCACCCGAAGCCCCTCGGGTACCACGGAGGAAGCCCTTTCCTCTGTGCGGCCCGGTCCAGGCAGGAGCGCGTGAGACACAGCGCCCACGGCCGCGAGCAGCAACGCCAGGGACTGTAACGTGGGAAGCTCTCAGCAGAGCCGGGCAGTGAGGGCTACATTCACCACGAGCCCCTGGGTGTTATTTGAAGCCTTTCGCAGAAACATTTCAAAAAATCGGAATAAAATTCAGATGATTTTGTAGAGCGGCCACATCGGCATTCTCAGCAAGAAAGAGCTGCCTGAGAGGAAGACAGTTACATGTTGCAGAAGGATGTTTGAGTGAACAGTGTCACGTGTGGGGAATAGAAAGGCCTAGGTATTGGGGGGTGGGGGTGCCTTCAATCCAGCTACAGCCGGTGGCCTGAGACCGGGCGCACCGGGGTCCAGGTGCCCCCGCTGGTCAGGTGGTCTAGTCTCATGTCCTCACCAGCTCTGACACGCGAAGCTTCTCTCGTTGGTAGGATGAGCCCTGATGTGTTCATTATGCATGTTTGCTGCTCATCACACACATGGGCTGAGCCCCAGAAGAGAATGAGGTCGTCGGTGTCTTACAAAGGTCCGAGGAATCGTTGGGTGGCAGGTTCTGTGCTACGTGGTACGTGGAGGGAGGTCGACGCGAATGAGGAAGCTGCTGGTGGATTTAAGGAAGTGGTGGAGGGGTGTGTCTGGCGTTATGCAACAGAGGTGGTGACCATCCCTTTAGTTACAGGAAACGGTGTTTCTTTACGAAGCTGTCACTAGGCTGTTCCCAGGAGGCGGGCAGCTGCCCGGCCGGCTCCCTGGCCCGCGCCTTGTTAGCCCGACACGAGACCATGCACGTCGGCTCCTCTCTGCTCAGCCCACAGGCACCGGCCGCAGGGGCTCGCCAAGTGTTTCCCATCAGAAGCAAGACCTGAGGCCATTTCAGAACAAAAAACATGTCAAGCATTGAAAACGTTCTTAGGTACTAAAAAGAATTATTTTGCTTTGTTTTACTTTTTTAAACATATATTTTTATTGATTTCAGAGAGGAAGGAAGAGGGAGGGAGGGAGAGAGAGAGAGAGAGAGAGAGGAGAGAGAGAGAGAGAGAAACATCAGTGATGAGAGAGACTCATTGATCGGCTGCCTCCTGCACACCCCCTACTGGGGATGGAGCCCCCAACCCGGGCATGTGCCCTGACCTGGTTCATGAGTCGACACTCAACCGCTGAGCCAGGCCACGCCGGCTTGTTTTACTTGTTAACTCTTGGACTTACCATTATGATGGTGTCTCTCACAGAATAAAACTTTAAAGCATGTTTCCAGGGCACAAGTGACGCCCGGAAGTAGAAGAAGACAAATTTGAAGAAATCACAGTGCATTCTATTATGGTGCACCCACCTTCTTTATTTATGGAGAAGAGAAGGAAGTTTCCTGAGGTTATATTGTTAAATTGTCTTCAATTGATACAGTGTTAATTGACTCGAATTATGTCATTATTGATCCCTAAGACTTTCTCTGGCGTCTTTGAAAAGAATGCCTGACGTATTGATTAGCCGGCGTCAGCAAATTCTCGAGAACCCCCCACGTAAAATGCGTATCCACTTCACACGCTATCCTGGCTGAATCGTTCTAGACGGCAGTGTTCTGAGATGTGGCTGCTTTAGCGGGAAAGACTGCCTGACCGGATGAGATCATATCGTATTGCTTTCTTCCATCAGTTGTAGAAGTTACTTCCGCTTCTCCTAGGAGTCGACACACTCTAGTTCCAGGCGTTGATATACATGATAGAAGTCACTAAAGCTTTCACTGCACAAAATAGAGAGAAGTAGGTGTGTTTTTAAAAAATAGACTTTCTGTTATTATTATTTTTAAATGCATTTTATTTTATTTTTTTAGAGAGAAAGGAAGGGAGAGGGACAGAGAGAGAGAGAAACATCCATGAGAGAGAAACGTCACCAATCTGCTGCCTCCTGCACGGCCCCTGCTGGGTGTCGAGCCCGCAACCCGGGCATGTGCCCTGACCAGGAATCGAAGCCGGTGACCTCTTGGTTCCTGAGTCGACACTAAACCAGTGAGTCAGACCGGCTGGGCAGACATTTTAAACAAATGTTTCAGTATAACGCAGCCCCCAGCTCTCCGCAGGAACTAGATCAAAGTGCCCAGGTACTAAGCTGCCCGATGGCCCCAGACACCAGGAAAGGACACGCGGGCAGGGAGGGTGTCCGTCTCACTCTCGCCGGCAGCGCACGTCTCGGGCGCTTATGACACATCAGTGTTTCAAGTCATGCTTTGCGGGAATCACTCTGAAAAGCAAAAGTGTCCCCGTCGCACCCTCCCACAGTGGACTGAAAAGGCGAGAAGCGGGTTGCTCAGCTCAGCTGATGTTGAGGCAGGCCACGTGCCCCCGAGGGCTGGGCCTGTGAGAGGGAGCCCCCCCCCCCCAGACACCTGCCCGCTGCAGCAGCGCCCCCCGCCCCCCAGGGAGCCGCGTCCGAGTGCAGCCCACACGAGGAAGACCCTTCTCGCTGCCGGCGGGGACACCGTTTCCCGTGGAATAAAGCGCATCCCCTGAAAGCACAGGCGCCAGGCTCAGCCACCGGACCCAGCGCCGTTCCGCCGCCTTGGGGTTCAACATCTGATCACCGCATGTGTGTGACGTGTTCGCTCAGATTATTCCCATGTTGTCCAGGATTCTGGGTTTCATGAGGGCACCACTCTAGTCCACGTAGCTCTGAATGGGTCTGTTTTATGTTCCGGCGCCATAACTCACATGGGAAAAGGCGTGTGTACGGATGAATGAATTAGAACGTTGGGTACAATGATGCCATCACGGAGGCTCAGCTATCAGCCTGGGGGAGGAACGGCAGGCATGCTTGCTTTTGAAGAGGAAGTGGATGTTCACATTTGATTTCTAGCTACACGGTCCACACTTTTTCGTTAGAGAGAGACCGTGTTCCTGCTGGTGAGCTGGGCGGTTGCCCCTGTGTGTATCCCAGACCCTGTAACCGAGAGATGCTGAAATGCACAATTACATGAGTAATAAAAGGTAACTTGAAAATCAACTCAGAGGCTTTTCGTTTTTCCTTATAAAGGATTGTTCTGAATTAGCCCTCACCCCAAAGAACATTTAATCTCATCTACCACATATTTTTAAAATGTCCGTGTCTACAGTGTCCGTTTCCAGGCACATCAAAAGAACTTCACGGTCCGTTTCCAGGCACATCAAAAGAACTTCACGCTCATTGGCAATATTTTAACTGTAACATTTTAAAAACTTTAGAAAAATCTTATCTGAAAATGTCATCAGTTTCAAATGTAAGAGGTTTGAGATCCAAACATATTCTCTTATGAGTCTTCTTCTTATTTATTATTTTTAAATATATATTTTATTGATTTCAGAGAAGAAGGGAGCAGGGAAGAGAGAAGGAGATAGAAATATCAATGATGAGAGGGAATCATGGATCGGCTGCCTCCTGCACACCCCCCCACTGGGGATCGAGCACAACCCTGAGCAGGAATTGAACCCTGACGTCCTGGTTTATAGGTCGACGCTCAACCACTGAGCCCCGCCAGCTCGGCCAAATGAGGACTGTTGTAAAGATCAATGGATAGAAGGGGTGGTCGCTCCGCCTGCCTTAGGTGGGAATGCCCCAGGGAAGGCCGTCTCTAGGAGGAAGCCCTGGGGCTCGGTCTCTAGGCGTTTCCAAGCACAGAGAGACAGGTAGCTTCTCTAGGCGTGGGGCCCACACAGCCGAGGCAAGGGGAGCTCAAGTCGGGGATCAGAGCAGCCACAGAGAAGCCCTGAGAGCCGCCCGTGGGTCCTGGCCCCTGGCCTTAAACTGAGGAAGGCACTGCCCCACTCACTCCCACGTGGCCGTGGCCGTGGCGAGTGATGTGGTGGCATCAGGAGTAGCAGTGGCCGACCCCGCCCTGTGGGGGGCAGGGGGCTTGCTGGTTTCTCCTCCCATCACTCACCCGTGCTCCTCCTGGGGGCACGCAGGGCAGAGGGGAGCCACGTAAGGAGGGCGAGTTACCTGTTTCCCCATAACTGGGGGTTGTTTGGACCTTTATGCCAGTTTAGGCCTCTCTGTCCTGGAATTCAGGTGACTCCTCTGCTCCTATTTATAGCAACGACCACCTGACTGTTGGCAAGAAAAATGCCGGTAAGTTACCGGGGTTGGTTTGTCCTGGAGGGCTGGGAAGAAGGAAGAGAACACTGATGCTGTGATAACACAGTCAGAGTTCACTGCTCAGCCAAGCCAGGCCCCGCCCACCCGAAAACCACCCCCAGGGCCAGGTGTCTGCCTGCAGGGGCGGGGGGTATGGGGGGAAGGGGGGAGGGCTGCACTGCCCCGTGAACTCTCCCCACCCCGGCCGCAGTGGGCTGGAGACAGCAAAGTGCCTGGGTTCCTCCTCTTCCATTAAAGTGAGAGGAGAAGGAACCACGAATGGACTGCTTGGGTCTCGAAGGCCGTCCCGGAACCGGAGCCATGAGCTAGCCCTGGAGGAAGCTGGGAGAGAATTTGCAACACCTTTTGTTTCACCTTCCCCTCACCCTAACGTCCCTCTCAGAACACAGCACTCGACGCCATTCCACGCTCAGAAAAGGCGGGCAGGAGCGACTTTCAGCCCTAAAATTCCTGCATAAAACAGATGTTCTTACCAGAAACATGGGCATTGCCTTCCCCTTAAGAAATCTCCCTCCAGGTGTTATGCCCAGATTTCAAGATCCCCACATTGTTGTTCGATGTTATCAATGACAAGATTTGATTCTCAGCAAAGACAAGGGGGCTTTGGTGAAGACTCGGGATTGAATTTCAGCCCCCTCTGACCCAACGGCCAGAAGGGGAGGAGAGAGAGAGTGCCGTGAGAAAAACCAGGGTTTTAATAGGGGGTGGAGTGAGGGGACTCTGGGCCCTGCCGATTGGCCAGGCGCAAGCCGGGTCTTGTTACATAGGATGCGGTAATTCTTATGGCACGCACATCCCTCAACTGTCATTGGTTAGTTTAAAGAAATCCCAGGCATGGCCAGCAGAGGCCTGGGCTTCCGGGAAGAAGGGGGTCTGAGCACATGGCTCCTACCCCAACATGGAGGATACGGGGCAAGATGGAGGGCATAGCCCTCACCCTTTCACCAGGCATTAAATTACCCAACTTGACACCTTCCCCACATTGTTGTTTGACGTTATCAATGACAAGATTTGATTCTCAGCAAAGACCAGGGGGCTTTGGTGAAGACTCGGGATTGAATTTCTCTGATGAAGGGACACAGCACGTTTGGGCAGCATGAGTGGTCCCTCCGTTCCGTTCCGGCCTGGACTGTTTTTCTTGGTGCAACGAAATCGGAACCGGAAAAC